TTTTAATAACAGTTTTTTTGAATGTTTAGACAGAATCTAAATGAACAAACTGCCATATTTGCTTCATCAGGTAGCAATGCGTGATATAAGAATATGGAGGGAAAAAATTATTATTATAATTTTTTTTTGTTCAGAGTCTCAAGCTGAGCAAAAATATGCAATTTGGTGCGGATGCTGATATTTATATGGCCAAAAAGTAAGATGAAATTCAGATAGCTTGTAATGGAAATCAATGAGATCTGTATAATAGTATAACAGACTACTATATATAGGCTAAAGTTGTCACTCTGTATCTCCCAATAATACAATTATAATGATCAAAGCTTTGTAGTTTAACATGTAATGCAATGCAATACAATGATGATTGTTAGATGAACAAATAAACATTTCTCAAAAACCTGATGCTCATTTTCTAAAAAATTATGTATGATAATCAAGTAAACCTACACTCTTAAAAATATAGGTGCTTCAAAACGTTCTTCACAGCGATGCCATAGAAGAACCATTTTTGGTTCCACAAAGAACCATCTCTTTCTTACCTTTTTATAATCTGAAGGACCTTCTTTCGCCACAAAGAACAGTTTTTGTGAAACAGGAAGGTTCTGCAGACGTTAAAGGTTCTTTATGGAACCATTTACACAGGAAAAAAAAAATAATATATATATATATATGTATATGTATGTATGTATGTATATGTATATGTATGTATGTATATGTATATATATACTGTATATACATACATAAACAGAATAACACTGGTTTGCATAATCTTAAAAGTTAACTTGCGGCAGCCTTAAGCAGTTTTAGCCTGCTTGAATTCCCCTCATGGATTGGGGTTTCTCTTGTACCTTCATATGTACTGAGGTGTAAGTTTGTAAACCTCATAAATGAATAATGAAAACTCAGCGAAAGGGTCTGCTCAGCTCCAGAGTACAGGAGACTTTATCAAATATTAATATGATTCTGCAATCATCGGGCTGAGCATGTCAGAGTGTGTTCATTTTCTCAGCCAGCTGCTGTTGGCGATGTTTGTCTGTGTGTGTGTCACATACTGATACTGTTTCATTAGTGCAATGGTTTGTGATGCATTTTGTCTTGCTTTGTGACCAGCAACACACAAATACATTGGTTTTTTTTTTTTATATATTTGTGTGTACACTGTTCAAAAGTTTGGGGTTAGTACGATTAGATACTTTTATTCTGCAAGTATGCATTGAATTATCTTTATAATGATATAAAAGATTTCTATTTCAAATAAATGTGGTTGTTTTTGAACTTTTTATTCATTGAAAACATTCAGAAAAATAAAACGTATCACCATTTCCACAAAAATATTAAACCGCACAGCTGTTTTCAGCAATAATAATAATGAGAATTGTTTCTTGAGCAGCATATCAGAATGATTTCTGAAGGATCATGTGACACTGAAGACTGGAGTAATGATGCTGAAAATTCAGCTTTGCATCTCAGGAATAAATTATATTTTAAAATGCATTCATATAGACAACAGTCATTTTAAATGGCAGTAATATTTCATAATATTACTGTATTTTTGATTAAATAAATGCAGCTTTGGTGAGCATAAGGGACTTCTTTCACAAACATTTAAAAATCTTACTGACCCCAAACATTTGAATGGTAGTGTACTGTGAAATTTGATGTGCATGTTATTGCTCTGATTATATTTTGTCAGCTTTGACGGAGAATTCATAATGCGAATACATGTTTGACAAAGAGTAGATGATATGTTCACTGTTTATTCAAAATGTATTAATGCTTGTTTTTTTTATTTGTTACCTAGAATGTAGATGATCATTGATACACCAGTTGTATGTATGTGAAGTCAGTGTTTCTGTGGTTGATGGGGAAGATGTTTTCGGTCTTTCAGAAATGGGCACGGATCTGCCGGGGCCGGTGGCCATGCTGGGCGCTGTGGTGGGCGCGGGTCAGGTCAGGATGGCGGGAGCCATGCCGGGGCGAGGAGGCAAGCGGAGATCAGCGGGGTGAGTTATTATGCTGAACAGCGTATTATTTTCATAATTGTAGATGCTCTGTAAAGGGGTCATATGATGCAATTTCAAATTTTCCTTTCTCTTTGGAGTGTTACAAGCTGTTTGTGCATAGATACGATCCCTAAAGTTGCAAAAACTAAAGTCTCAAACCCAAAGAGATATTCTTTATAAAAGTTAAGACTCATCCACGCCCTCCTAAAACGCCTCGTTTAAACACGCCCCCACATGTCTACGTCACTGTGTGGGAAGAATTGCATAACGCCGCCCAAATGTGCACGCAAAGAAAGAAGACGTAACTTTTATTCTCGCTGTAGTATTGTTGTTGCCGCCGCCATGTCGTGAAGACGCTGTTGTGTTCGTTGTACGCAACGCGTAAAAAGACAGTATAAGTCATTATAATCCGTAATTATGTCCCCACTGGATGCAACAAATGCCTTGTTTATAATGGGTTTTATTGGTGTTGTCTCGTCGCGCCGGGAGACACGGCATCACAGTATGGTAGGGGCGTAACATTTCCGTCACACGCTTGAGGTATTCGGCCAATCACAACACACTGGATAGCTGGCCAATCAGAGCACACCTCGCTTTTCAGACCGATGAGCTTTGTAAAAATCGATTGCTTTTCAGAAAGGCGGGGGCATAGAGGAGAAACAATAATGTACATTGTGGAAAATAATGTGTTTTTTGAACCTTATACCACATAAACACATTGCATTACACCAAATACACAACATAATGTTCTTTTTAGCAACATCATATGACCCCTTTAATATGACACTTAACAGTTCAATATAGTGACTTGCAAATGACAAAAAATATCAATAGAAAAGTAAGATTTACCCATTTTCAGATGTGTTGCTTAACTGTTCAAGGGGAATTGGGTACAGTTGCACAGGTTTTGGCCCTTTTTGTTCTTTCTTTAATAGTCCATTAATGAAAAAAAAAAAACGTATGTTGAAAAATAATAAATTAAATTAGAAGATAATGTGTAAGATAAGATATGTAGATAAATAATTAATGCATCAACAGCCATTTGCTCACATTACTAATTAGACTATTATTCTTATTCTTATTATTACTTGAATGAATGCATGAATGATTGTTTATTCAGATATCCAATTTCCCTTAAAGAATGAAACTATACACGTGCATATTTAGTTCTATTCTATGTTTATAATTTCTTTCTATGTAACTTCTTATTGCATCAGATGTGTGAATGACACGTTTTTTAGTCTATTGAAAGTTATGTGATGCATACAGCAGGCAGCATCATGAATCAGGAGTGTTTGCAGTTGAACGCAGCTTTAATGAGCTCATGAAATGATATGACTGTCTCTCAGAGCCCATTATGAAGGAGTGCTCGTTATTTTCATTGTCTCTTATTATGTAACACTTTATTATTTGTTTTGCCATTGAAAAGGTGTTCGGTGTTAATTAAAGGAAATAAGAACATTTCATTTATTGATTATCTTCCTCATGGATCTCCAGTACTGACATTACTGAGCTACATGTACTTTTGAATACTTTATCAGAGTAAAATTGCTCTCATATTTTTCAGATAATCAACCACATTTATGCTGCATCTTCTGAAAAACAATATAAATGAAATTTCCAAAGAGGTGGATCTTGGTTAGATTTATTCTGTGCCCATTATAGTGAAATATGAATACTATATATTATCCTTTATTTTTTATATTATACAGTGTTATGCAGAGCCCAGTGTATAGCTGCCCAAATAACTGTACAATAGCAGCACAACTAATTTGTCTCAATAGGTAACAGTGGCATCTGCTGTGTTGGAGGCAGGACTTCAGTTCCCTGCATGCACCAAAGCATGAATAAATAAAGCAATAAACCCCAAGAAGCAGTGGTTTACAGTGAATTTATAACAGCTAAGGGGCATTGTTAGGCATGATGCAAAGCGTCCCCCCTTAGCTGTTATAAATTCACCGTAAACCACGGCTTCACGGGGCTTATTGCTTTTATAAAACGGTTATTCCATATACGTAGTAAGGTTTCACAAAATAAAACAGAGCAAATAAAGTGTAATGATAATAATAAAAACATTATTCTTTCGCCAAACAATGTAGTTCCTCAGAAACGGTTGCTGTTCCAACAAAGTGGTTGCCGAGCAACACACAAATTAGTGCTGGGCGGTATGACCAAAAATGTATATCACGGTATTTTTCAAAATTATACCGGTTTCACGGTACATGACGGCATTTTTTTTCCATGCATGACCGGGTGTTAACCATATTTTCTACTGATTGAGAGAGGAAATACTGCAGTATATTGACTTAGAATGCCCTATTTTACTGTCATGATGAGTGAATATTGTCAAAAAATACCACACTAAATAGTGACTAAACACGACCCCTTTTAATACATGTTAACCAGGAGTCACTCTCATTTATAATCGCGGCATCGTCTGATAAAATCAACATGCATCTACACTAAAGAGCGGCTATGCGGTTGTTTTGGCTATATTACTTTTTTGTCTCATGCAGCGCACTGCCTGCGTCTGAGTAACAAACTAAAAAAAA